ACTCCGGAGCATCTCACGAAAGCTGTTGTTCATATTTGTATGTAAACACATCTGCTCCTATTCTTTAAAGACTGGTCAGTTGGTTTTCAGAGGATTCGATGTGAGAAAAATGATGGCTCACCTTCTCTCTGCATCAGGCCCGTCGGAACAGGACAGGCAAACCAAGCAATTGCTTGGGGCCCCGAGCTGGACTGGGGCCCCAAGACAACGACTGTTTAAGAATAAAATGCAACGACAAACTGTGAGCGCCCCTTTGATAGTCAATGCAGTAAAGTGCAATGACACTGTTATCGGAATCCCCCTCAAGGGGGCCCCTCTCAGTAGTCGCTGACAGCAGCCAGCCAACTACGCGATCTCTGCTGCCGGCAAAATACAAACCTCCTCGGGAGTTATCATGAAGCGGAATTATGCTTCAGGAAGCCAGAAAAGAAAGAGGAGAAAGGAAGAGAAGGTTAAGCAAAATACCAGATAGTGGTAAAGTAATAAATTACACTGCATAAAAATAGCTCTACTTGTCTTGTACAAATGGTGTAATTTTGCAGCAGGTAACATTAGGCTAGCAAAAATATGTTTATGTTACGTTAGCATGGGCGGCGCTAGGGAGGGGCTAGCATGTGCTTCAGCACCATAGACAGTATAAGAAGTGGACAGAGCCATCTCATTGGAACTCAGTTGAGACAGTTGAAGCCCATTTTTAGCGATTTTTGAGCACTTCCGTTCCTGACGCGCAGACTCAAACCGACTCAAACTAAGCTTGATGACGTGAGCAACTTGTCTGACAGACGTTAATCTTCTAGTAGCTGTGCGTGAAAATTGCCAACGTTAATCTTGCAGAGACGGGGAACTTGAGCAAATAGTTCTTTGGCGTGAGTGAGCAGGAGTAAGTATTCCGTTGCTTTTATGGACTCATTATCTATGGGCTTCTCCCTCGACGGGACGTCCCCCCGATTGCCTGCGAGCTTCTCCTCCTGTCTGTACGGTCATTTCTGTACAGCGCGACAGAGAGTCGAGTGGTTATGACGCAATCGTTAGCCTATTTTTACTAAATCTGTTTCTACGGGGCCATAATGTAACATAGAAGGTAATGGAGCCCTTTATACATTGTCGTGTTTCTTTAGAAATAAATAATGGACAAATGGAGTCTTTAAACGCCTCAGATGTAAAGTTATTCGCTGTCAAAGTGACGCCAAAATGAATGGGAGTCAATGGAAATGCTAACGCAAGTGAAGTTCTGCTACAACATGGCGGCACCCGGCCGGCTTCAACTTCCGGTCGATGGATTACCCCCTTGTTCAGCACCCCCAAGAAAGACCAAAGCACCCCGATAGCACCCCCTAAAATAATGTCTGGAATCAATTATATTCAAATATATGTTATTTCGAGATATTAAGTCGTTATTTCAATATAATATCTCGGTATTTCGACATAATAACGGCACATTTCTGTCCCGCCAAAGCCTTTTTTGATCGGTGAGTGATGTAGAATAGAATGACTGCTGCGCTTGACAGGGCGCATCACGAGCAGAGAGAGAGAGCCCCGGCCGCGCGCGCGCGCGCACTCTCACGTCTTCAAACACTTCTCGCGCATATTAATCTAAATCAATTGACACGATAGTAAAAGGTCGGAAGACCGCAGTTTCACGTGTAGCATTTGGAGATTTGTTCTCCTGAATTACCGCGGTGTGTGAATTGTGCTAAAAAAAAAACACGTTGCCTAGCTTATCGTCTCTAAAAAGCGTTCCGCCCATTCAGCTGACCTAAACTCCAGTGATTAAATGTTTTCTGTATTGACGCAAATCTTGTGCGATGTCCTAAACTGCCGAGATAATCACAAGCGTGCCGTAGACGTCCACTAATGACACGTCCGATACGCAAACGAATGACTCATTTTAACCATTCACTTTAATGAATAGTTAAAACAACTGACATGTCCAACACTGAACTGAGACCTCTGAATCGGTGTATAAAAAATCGGTTAGATTAGTTAACATTTACTATTAATTAACTGCACTTCAGCATTGTTAATGTTAATTGTTTCAATATTTAGAGAGTCAGGCCCACTATATGTGTGTTGTAGCCATTAAATAAGCCCATTTAATTTAATTTTTGTTAAAATATTATAATGTTTTTTTTTTGTTTTTTACATATGCTGATTATGAAAATTGAACAGCATGAGTAAGATGCGCGATATATGGGAAGATATGATGGGTCAGACATGATTTTGACCACTAAATTTACATTTACACATTTACATTTAGTCATTTATTTTAGCAGACGCTTTTATCCAAAGCGACTCAACTGAGGACTAAATCAAGCGAGTCATCGTGAAAAGGCAAAAACAACGCAAGAAGTGCTCAAAATACCAAGTTCGGACATTGCTCGGAGCAGCATAAGCCAGACAAGCGAGGATTTAAAGGAAAAAGTTTTTTATTTTTATTTTTTTATGTTAAGTATAAATTAAGTTTTGTTTTGTAGAAAGCCTTTTTTAAAGTGAATTTCGTTTTGTATAAATTGTATCTTAATTTTAATCAATTTTTCATCAACCAATTGACTGGGTATAATAGCCTAAATAAGAAGCACATATAGCAGACAATATGATAAAGATAAGGAGGCGCGGGCGCGATTGCATTGCACGTGAACTGGAGCACATCTCATCATAAATTTTGCTCATTTAAATAATAGTGTGTGTGTGAGTGTGTGTGTGTGTGTGTGTATATATATATATATATATATATATATATATATATAGGCTATTGTTACAAAAACAATCTATTTCAGTAAATGCTGTTTTTTACTTTCTATTCATTGAAGAATCCTGGAAAAAAATATCAGATTCCATAAAAAATATAAATTTTTCCATAAAATATACTGAGCAGCCAGGGCCGTTTGAAGGAATTTGGGGGCCCCAAGCAAAATGGACATGGAGGCCCCCCAAGCCCCCTGCCCCACCCCACCCCCCACACACACACACACACACACATACACTTACACACACTTTATATGATTAAAAAAGGTTTACAGTGCAAATACTGCAGTTGCATACTGTGCATAAAAAAATAAAAAATTACATTGACATAAGCAATGAAAAAATCATGTTCCTCTGCCTTTTTCAGGTTGAATAATGTTTATAGATGGGTAAGGTTACAAATTATTTAAGTAAAAAGACTGTTTGCTAACAGTTAAATGACAATTAACTAAATATTAAATAACTAACAATTTACCATAATGATTGTTATTATAAAGTGTTACAGAAAACTTAAAGATATGTTAGCATTTCCATATTTTGATATTAGAAGGGAAGGGATGCTGCTTTCACTACCAATGCTTAAAAACATCCCAAGCTAATGTTTGATGCACAGAATTTATTGTGTGGTTTTCCTAACCCCCATTGGTAAATAGATTATCACGGTGGAATAGTTATGCTATGCCACTTTCATCAAAACCTATTAGCTATAGCAATGTCATGTCATTAAATACGATAAACAGTGATTATGGAACTCCTTAAACTGTTAAAAAACATATTAGCCTACAGTATGCAACGTTAACCATATTCCGTCCGTTCGAAAAAAAATTTGCACTAACTGTTCGTTACAAGCAGCATTTGCCGTCAGGCAGGTAGCTAACGTAACATAAACATATTTTTGCTAGCCTAATGTTACCTGCTGCAAAATTACACCATTTGTACAAGACAAGTAGAGCTATTTTTATGCAGTGTAATTTATTACTTTACCACTATCTGGTATTTTTCTTAACCTTCTCTTCCTTTCTCCTCTTTCTTTTCTGGCTTCCTGAAGCATAATTCCGCTTCATGATAACTCCCGAGGAGGTTTGTATTTTGCCGGCAGCAGAGATCGCGTGGTTGGCTGGCTGCTGTCAGCGACTACTGAGAGGGGCCCCCTTGAGGGGGATTCCGATAACAGTGTCATTGCACTTTACTGCATTGACTATCAAAGGGGCGCTCACAATTTGTCGTTGCATTTTATTCTTAAACAGTCGTTGTCTTGGGGCCCCAGTCCAGCTCGGGGCCCCAAGCAATTGCTTGGTTTGCCTGTCCTGTTCCGACGGGCCTGTGAGCAGCACAACTGTGTCCAACATTGATAATAATAATTGTGTCTGAATGTTTATGAGGGATCATGTGACACTGAAGACTGAAGTACTGACTGCTGAAAATGCGGCTCTGCTTTTTAGTAAATTAAACTTAATTTACTGTGTTTATCCAATTATGTGTCCAATGTATTTCAGTTGACAGTTATCTCAACTTTTGGAAGTAAGTAAAGCCGGGTGTGTTTACACAACAACGGTGTACTTAAAACAGAAAGGTTTCTCCTTTGCATACAGACGAAAACATTGTCAAAACAACCCCCCATTACACATGGATTTGCGAAAACTACTGAAAATGCTTTATTCTGCTGCCAGGCCAGTAGTTGTCACTTTCTATAGAAATACTACATGTACACACTGAACACATAATACGCATGCGCATGACGTCATCGTATTTACAGATTTGTGTTTTTGTAGTTTACACAGAGACGATAACGGCATCGTTTTCAAAAGCTTGGATTTTCAGGCCCCCAATACGCTTTTCACAAGTTCACACTTACATACAATTAGAGGGAGTAAAGTTTAATGCGTATTTGGCGTGCTGTCCGGGTCCCAGAGTACTCCCCCCCGTATGTAAATGGTTAGGACTAGAAGTGTGGAGAAGGGGCGGTGGAGGGATACTGCAAAACTGTCAATGGATTGAGGTGAGACTGCTGAATCAATACACCTCTTATCATTGATTGCTGAGTGCTCTCCACCCGTGTTAATTATCTGAATCTGCTCCTCTCGAACTTTGTTAATAAAACATAATTTGTCGTGTAAATGAACTGCCAAAACGCAAAAAAAATATATATACGTTTTTAATTGAAAAACTAAACCTGTCCCCTAAAACTCAAAAAAGCAAATGCAAAAAATCAATGAGTTGAGATTTTTTTTACAGTGCTTGTTTCTTACCTTCTTTTCTTTGGTAGTGGACATATTTCAGAAATAGATTGTCTGAGTATCCTGACAAAATCTCCAGGGGTCAGTTGGTCATCCATTTGGTACAGCCATGCAGACAGTGGACGTGGAGTTTGTCCTTGAAACCCCATCATTTACACAGAATAAGAGGACTATATATAACATCTTACAGTATATTTGAGATGAATAGTTGAGCATAGTTTACCTGGTTCAGGTCTTACTGGACATTGACCTATTGTTTCTTGATTCCGTGTTTGTGCTTCATTGGACTGCATATTTTGGCTTTCCGTCAAATGGAGACGAGCCATACCCTGCCATGAAAATTAGATGGTTGTCAAAGAACAGATTTGTTTTCCAAATACCCCAGGGTGAAAATCATCACTGTGTATCACCTCGCATAGTGTGGCCAATGTATGACTACAAATCCCACGATTCTCACAGACATGAATGAAGTGTTTGAACAAATGAACATCTTCATGAAGTCCTCTGAGCAGAGCCCAGGCTGCTGATATACATCTGAAAAATAATCATAACCCATAATTATTCGCAATATAAGGGTCACCGTGATTTTGCTAAGTAAGACCTGTTCCTGGATCAGCATATTTTGTTGAACTTGGAACAACATTCCTATCCAAAAGGTTGTCCTAACCCTATCCCCTAAAAACCCAACCCTACCCATTAGTTATGCCTAAAATCAGAGGTAAATAACACTGATGTTGTTGTAAGACTAAACTTGACATAAACTTTAAACTTTGAATCTTATTGGTTGATTGGAATGTCGTTCCAGGATCATCAAAGATGTTGATTCAGGAACATGTACTTGGCAAAATTATGCTCACCACAATATAGGAAGATTTTGCAGAATAAGAGTCATTGTGATTTACTTGTTCTGTATTAATACATCCACACAGAGTTTGATATCGTGAATGTTCTCCATGGCTGGTGTGATGGTGTATAGATACTTCAGTGCTGCTTGATTCTCTCCTGTCCTCAGTAAGGTCCTCAGAACAGCACAGTGGTGCCATGACAGTGCTGGAGGACAAGCTCTTGGGCTCAATAAGACATCCATTGAATCCTGGGAATGAAAAGCGCCATATGTTCAGCAAACAAGGGGTTTAGACCCACGTAATATGATACCAGGACAATTTTTGATAACGCTGAATGATGGTATTAAAAAGCATCTCACTGTTACTAATCCGTGATCTAGAAGCCAAAATCCAAAAATCTGTTGGGAAAATGCAGATGAGATACTGAAAACATGACAGAATGACTGCAGGAGATCATCCTTACACTGCAGGAAGTTAGACACATCCAGGACAAAGTACATTACCTGGAGCCTTATTAAAGAAAGTTAACCGAAGGTGAGACATGAATATTTTTATATAATAGGTTTAACTTTATTTTGATGGTCCCCTGTTGACTATAAGTAACCTGCACCTACATGTCAGATAAATCTAGTTAGAGTATTGGGGGACTGTTAGGTTAGGAAGGGTTGGGGTTAGTAGAATAAGTTGACACTTAAGTTACTCAATAACTTAAGTGTCTGTTGGGAGCATCGAAATAAAGTGTCAGCAGATATTAAAAACAAAGTGCTTCCAATATAATATAGTCTCTTGTGCTCACCAAGGCTGCATGCATTTATTTGATCAAAATACACTAAAAACAGTAATGTTGAGAAATATTACTGTAATTTAAAATAATTGTTTTCTATTTTTTCCTGTGATGGCAAAACTGAATTTTCAGCATCATTACTCCAGTATTCAATGTCACATGATCCTTCAGAAATCATTCTCATTCTGATTTGCTGCTCAATAAATATTTATTATAATTGAAACCAGTTGTGCTGCTTAATAGTTTTGTGGAAACCAGCGTGGTTTTTCAGGATTCTTTGATTAGAAAGTTCAAAAGGACAGCATTTATTTGAAATATATATTTTTTGTAACATTATAAATGTCTTTACTGTCACTTTTGATCAATTTAACGCAGCCCTAGTGAAAAAAGTATATAGATTCTATTATATTTAATAGCTAAATATAAACAGTAAAACATTTATCAACTAAAAATGGAAAAGATATACAAACATAATCTTACAGAATTTTGAATGAATGAATAACATAACATTTCAACATCAAAATATTCAAATAAAATCAAGCAGGATACAATGGCTTGGACGGACACCATGTCAATATTAGGCAGCAGCACTAGCTTTAGTAAAGCTTCTAGAGATGGTGGTGGGTACGTCTGGTAGGCACAGTCTTCTGAAACCCATATAGGCCCGTGTTGTTTGTCCATATGAGCTACCATACCCTGAATAAGAGAACTCCATCTGTACTTATCCTCAGCATAACTGCTGATGAGAGACAGAGCATGAGAATATTGGTTAGTATAATAATTAATGAATTCATTAATTACTGTTTAATGCTAAATAACCATGATTTTGTCAGAGTGGGAAAGTACCTCAACTGCAGACATGTTCTCCTTTGTTTGTGGTCCATCTCACGCCACATCTGAGATATCCTCTTCAGCTCATGGGCTTCTAAAAAAAAGACAAAGCAAACAGAAATAAAAATGTCTGAAATAGCTGAAAAGCTATTAAATAGCCTATAATACAATTTAATATAAAGGGATAGTTCACCTAAAAAGGAAGATATTTTGAAGGATGTCGGCAACCAGACTGTTGACGGTAGCCATTGACTTCCATAATATTTTATCCCGACTTTTCCAACTTTTACTTTTTTCCAACAGAAGAAAGAAACTCATACAGGTTTGGAACAACTTTAGTGTGAGTAAATGATGACAGATTTTTCATTCTTTGGTAAACTATCCTTTTAATGTAAGTTTTCAGATATTACCTTTCATGTGGTGTGTTATACAGCTGTTTGTGAATGTAAAATGTCTGAAAAGTTTCAAATATCAAAGTGCACGATAAATGGGGTTATTGTCTCCCAAAAGAAAGTACTGATTCTGAACTGCCTGAAATGAGTCATCAGTAATTCCAGTCTTACTTCCTGCATGAACTTACACAGGTTTGTAACAAATTTGCATAATGGCAGTCTATGATCTTTATTGGCTGCCAGTGAACAATGTCTACTTTGACCTGCTCTCAAACACTAGCTGTAGCTGAGAGCGGAAGAGCTGTGAATATCCACTTTGCTGTGAAAATCCACTTTGCTTCCAAAGGATGATGACTCATCGAATTGATACGGTAAAACCGAAGGCACCCTTACTGTTTACTGTATCACTGTGTATTCAAGTGCTGAGGAAGCCTTTGGAGCTGAAATTCAAATATGGTAATAGGCGTTTCATTACCAATCAACCAACAGACTGGGCCACCTGACCAATCAGAGCAGAGTAGGCTCTCAGAAAGGAGTTTTGAAAGACTGAATCCTTTATCAAACTGTTTCAGGCACTGTGAGCAAAGAGGTGATGCTGCAATGTATATTATGATAAATGTTTTGACCTTGGATACATGTAAACTTATTACAGAAGCCCTCCGAAACAAAATTAGGAACCTTTAAGATAGCATAGTAGGGTCACTTTAAATACATGAATACTTTAGAGCAGGGCTGCATTAAATGGATCAAAGTGACAGTAAAGACATTTGTAAAGACACTAACTTTGTTTAAACAAAGTCCCCTATCCCGAATATCACCTGGGTACTTGGGCAGAAGTCCTGTGATGCTCCACCACTGCACCAGGCGGCCCAGCAGGATGTGTTGCCTCATGGCATGATGTTCTTGTTTCCAACAACCCCATATATATGAAGCCCTTCTTCCTAGTGTACACACCCCACATGGGGTGACCCCCCGTGAACATAGATCAAAAACCAGTTTGTTAGAGCACTTCATATCCCAACAGTTTACAGACATATTGACATCCTTGGATTTTTTTTAAATATCGCAAAAATTTCTCAGAACATTGTTTTAGTATCTACATATGCATTTCTTTTGTTTTGCAATAGATTAAACACAAAATTAATAATGAATAAAACAGTAATTTTAAGTGAAATTATTTCATATTGTTTTTACTTTATTTGAAAAAATAATTGCAGCCTTGGTGAGCAAAATATTACTGATGTTGTATATTTTACCGGTGACTTTGCATGTGGTTTGTCAAATAAAGTGAACAGAGACTCCAAGACTGACCTTGTTTGGAGTGTAGAGGCTCACTTTGTTTCTTTACTAGGTGGACCAGAGAAAGCAGGTTCTTCAACTTGAGGACCAGTTTATGGACTAGAGCGACAGAGTTTTCATCTATAAACATCCACAAGCCTTTACATCGACCGAAACCTACAATCAGAGAAGAGCCAAGTGAGCTTTATCCGACCACCCAAACAAAAGCGGTAAACCTCAATGTTTAATAAGATTTCACCTACTCACAGAGCATTAACAGCTCCTTCTTGGCCAGTTCTGCTGAACTCTGAAGCCAGCAGTTAAAACGGGCCAAACATTCACTCGTATCCCCTTCACCTGTAGGAAACAACACATCAAACAATTCACGTGTCACATCATTGTGATCCATATTGGACCGAGGCACTGGTTCAATATAAGACACTGAAGTCCTACCTTCAGTACAAAGGCCCCGTAAGCAGCCAATGAGGCCCTTGAATATCAATATATTCTTTTGTCTGTTGTACAGTTGTACAAGTTGTAACAGTTGTCTGTTAAAGCTTTATTCCACCAAACCTCTGTATTTAGCATCATCCTGTTTATCGATAAAGAAACCCTAAAGATATAAACTACCCAATCTTGGCTTTAAAAGTTAGACTTTGGTTAAACCATGCTTATAGAAAGGAGAAAGAAATCTTAATATAACAATCCTTTGTGCATATTCAAATGCTAAATAGTCAGTATAAAATCGTGTGTGTTTTAAAAGTTATTCATCTATACAGTAAGTGAAAAATTGTCCAAGCTCATAACTCATAAACATTGTGGTAAGCAGTACTCACCAGATAAAGCACCCTTCATCCAGTATCCAGTGGTCATACGACTGTCCTGCATTCAGATCTGCTGACTAGTTAGTGTGTGCTTTCCCCTGACTCAATCCCCTTTAGGCCTGAATAATCCTGTGGATTTCATTTGCTGTCAGTACATGTGGTATTACATCAAATATGCATAAAACAGGAGTCGGCCAAATAAAGAATGTCCATTGCATACAACAAAGCAAACAGCCTCGGACTCAGAAGTCCCATTTCTAAAGGGGAATTTTAATTTATAGAAGAACATATTCTAAGCCATGAATAGACTGTTTTGTACAGTTCTGTTGTGTTCTGTTTCATTCTCTAAAATAAAAATGTATTTATTTATTTATTAATATTATCAATATTATTTAGCAATAATTTACTTGTGCACATATATATTTGTGTTTTGGTACATATAATGTATATATTGCCTGTGTTATGGGAAAAGATTAAAAAGTAATCCCAAATTTTTTTCTCCAGATCTTTCAGGTCTATATTATTTTAAAAGAAACTACAAAGTAAAGTAACATGAAAATATATAATATTTGTATTTTAATGGGATATATAAAATACCATAAAATTAGTGCTATCAAATCGATTAATCACACACACACACACACACACACATACATATAATATATATATATATATATATATATATATATATATATACAGTATATAATTTACAAACTTTCATGTTTGATGTGATTAATCGCGATTAATTGATTTGACAGCACTATTACATTTACATATAATAAATGATATATGTAAATAATGTCATTTAAAGCTGCAGTCCGGCATTTTTCCTCTTTGTCGCCATCTCTGTTTGAAATCTGTAATTGCAGTTATTCGCGGAATTATTAACTTTGCGTGAGTTGCACATCGGCATGAAACAGCGCGGATGAACACAATGTTTTGAGACTGCGAGTCTGTCAGTCACCGCGCCGATGTGGAAACTGGCATTCAGAATCACACATTCTACTTTTGGAAGTAGGCCTACATTATGACCATGACAACATACGAATTTTCATCGGAAAATGTCATCTGAACAAGTAAGTAACATCCACATCAACTAAGGGGGGAAAGCCTTGCAGTAAATCGTGCTGATTAAATATAACGTTTGCGTCAAACCTTTCAAATTATACTTTGTTCTCAAATTATCAACATCAGCATTGTGACTACATTTAATGTGTATTATGATTACCCTGTAGTTCAGTTTCTATTTCTGTGCAGTCTAATTTCTAATTGTCATACCAATAAATTAATGTTTCTTTACTGGTTTTCTTTGAGAAAAAAGAAAAGAAAAAAAACACGTATCTGTAATCCGATGCATATTTAAAACTATATATAATTTCGGAGGAGGCCGGTTTGGTTTGCTTGGAGTAGAGGTGAATTGCTCCCTCTCATAGCTAGCACAAAATATTTACCATAATAGCTAAACGAATAAAGACAGGAAACTCCGTAACTGTGTGTATTAAGCGAACAAGTGTGCTACTGTTACACGATTGAACTATTGAAATGTCTTGTCCTAAAAGAAAAAAAGCCGTCTCTGCGTCCGTTTTGAACCGATGTTTATCCTTGTTTTCGCCGACTAGCCGGGACGCCTTCTTTATGTGTACAGATGTGACGTAATGACGCAAAGACATGCTCGAATTTCCCGCGGAAATCCACCAGTACCACTGGAATTAAAATCATTATTACAAGCTAACCGTTTTGAATCGGGCAAAAGCAAGCAGATATTTTTGAACACTGGCTGGTTATGTTTTTTTTTAATTATTATTATTTTGGATAATTTTTAACCCAAAAAAGTTACGGACAGCAGCTTTAACAAAAAAAGAAGGATATAAAAATTAAACTACATGCAAGCATAGTTGGAGACTTTTAGCTCAGTAACCCTTTTCTCATTCTGTACTCTCTAACACACACACACACACACTCCAGTCAGTGAGATTTGTGCTGGTGGCAGAAGGTACTCTTCCAAATCCAACTGGGCTGATTACTGATTAGAAAGAATTACGAGAGAGGTCACAGCTGAGTCTGCGGCAGACACTAACAAACACACACACACACACACACACACACACACATTAGTATTCATTTGCAAACAATGCATTCAGATTGTTAACCAAAAGTTGCGAACATCTGATGGAAAGAAATCACTTGGAATAGGGCGGGATGCCACTGAGGGGTGGAGAGACCTGGATGGGTGAGTAAGCTGTTTATTACTACCCTCATCTCACACACCACTCCTGGCGGAGGACAAGCCCTGTGCCTGTCCATTCAGCTCAACTTATTTAGTTTCGCCTGCTATTTTCAGCTTTCAGTACTCAGGCCAGGAGTATTCTTAGCTTTTTGAAGAGTTATATGGCTAAAAATATTTGCATGCTTGCTAGCTGTGCCGTAGATAACAATTATTGCACAAAAATGTAACCTGAATATATACTTCATGTGGTAAAATCGAAATCCAAAATTTGTATTTAATATGACTCAATACCCTTCTGTTTTTATGAGACTTTTAAAGGTATGCAATAATGCTCTTCTCGATATTGTCTCAGCTGTTGCTAAGTTTGTTTTCTCTCTTTTTTGCCTCTCATTTGCAAAACAAAATGGAAATAGTTTCAGCTTCACTACGTTTCTAAAGGACCTCACATGGCATCTCCAAGGAGCTTGACAAATCAAAATATAAAACGGCTTTGTTTTGCCCAATTATTATTATTATTTTTTTGATTTATATCTAGTTCTTCTCATTATTTAAATGAATGAGCTGCATGAATGCTGTTTGTCGATTGCAGTTCAAGGTCCTTTATTGATTGACACTAAGTTAGCCTAAGAAGCTAATAGCTAAGAAGCATTAATTTAGCTATTTGATTATTGTACTCCATTAGACTTCCACAAAATCAATTTGATAAAGTGTAGGGTTCTCTGAAATTGAGGCAGTTCCCACACACAAACTGTAAAAATGGCTGTGCTGCCGGTTAGATTCACCAAAACCAAGAGAGACAAACTGGCCCAGGTTTTGTGGGTGCTGAACTGGATTTCCATTGTAACAGGAATCATCCTCTTTAGCTTGGGCATCTTTTTGAAAGTAGAAATCAACAAGCGGCAGGATCTAATGGTCGAGCGTCAGCTCCAATCCGTGCCCAACATGCTAATTGCCGTGGGACTTATAGCCTGTGCGATTAACTTTTTGGGAGGAAAGATCTGCTATGACTGTGTGGACACCAACAAGTTCTTACGTTGGAAGTTGGTGATGCTCCCGTACATCATTTGTACGTTTTTCTTCACTCTGAGCGTGCTCGTGGGTGCCTTGATGTGCTACAGCATGCTCGGACGGCTGGAGGAATCGCTAACGTTGGGGCTACGTGACGCTATGCGTTACTACAAGGACACGGACACACCGGGCCGCTGCTTCTTGAAGCACACGGTGGACCTGCTGCAGATTCAGTTTCAGTGCTGTGGGAACGAGGGCTACAGAGACTGGTTCCAGATCCAGTGGGTCAGCAACCGATACCTGGACATGTCTCAACGGGAAGTGGTAGAGTAAGTTGGGCCTGAAACATAAATAGTTAATATGTAATTAGTTAGTTGAAGTGCCCCTATTATGCTATTTTAAAGGTTCCTTATTTAGATTGGCAGGTCTCCTACAATAGGTTTACATACATCCAAGGTCAAAAAACAGAATATGAATTACAGCATCACCTGTTTTCTCACAGTGTCGGTTCAATCAAGGATTCAGTCTTTCTAAACCTCTCCTTTCCGAGAGCTCACTCTACTCTGATTGGTCTGATGACCCAGTCTGTTGTGATTGGTGTACTGGTTATAGAGAGCCTAAGTCCCTCCCCTTCCGGTCGACCACCATGGGACCTTATATCGGAAAAATATTGTATGGTAGTCAATGGCGAGAGACAACAAATATTTTGATCTCGTTTGAATTGTGCCCTGAATTACACATATGATGTTTGTCAATTTAAAAGATACATTTTAAAGTCAAGAAAGTCGCAGTTTGATGTAAAACTGTTGAGGTATAAGACTGTGAAAAATACGTAATTACAAACCCAAAAGGCGCACATTTTCTCTCAATGAATGAAGATAACTTTACTGAAGCTAACGTCTGTCATTTTTTCTATAGTCTTACATTATAATCGCAACGTTACGCCGTCATGCCTGAGTGTTTTGTACCAGACTGCACACACACGAGCTCCTTGTTTCGCTTCCCGGGAGATGTAGTTCATTGAGCGATTTTCACATAAAACTAAATGTTACTCTTCTGTTTTATGACAAACTGTGACTTTCTTGACTTTCATAATTATCTTTTAAATGGACAAACATCATATGTGTAATTCAGGGCACAGTTCAGACGGATTAAAAAGATAAGTTGTGTCTCGCCATTGACTACCATACATATTTTTTCCGAAATAAGGTCCCATGAGCCGGAAGCGGAGGGGAGGGACTTAGGCTCTCTATAGAGTGTGGAAACGAAACACAACTATTACCATATCTGAATTTCAGCTCCAGATCTTCCTTAGCCCTTTTAATACGAACAGAAACAATAGCGGCGGTTTTCAATTCGAGCTCAATTCGAGTGTAGAAAAAAAAAAAATCTTCTCGATAACACAAACCAGTCTCAGCTACAACTAAAGTGTTTTAGGGGGGGTCAAAGGTTGTTCACTGGCAGCCAATGAAGATCATAGACTGGCATTATACAAATTTGTTACAAACCTGTGTAATTTTGTGTAAGACTGG